GTGGATATTTCATTTATTGCATATTGATATTTGCCTATTCCATTTTTTTATACAGATGCTTTGGCCTTTTCTCTTAATCAATACTCAACTTACCCCTTATATATACTTGTATTATTATAATCTCCCTATTCTTATAGAAAGTGATAAACATAGTCCTTAAAATTATGTATAAGAAGACAAAGAAGAAAATATTAGGAATAATAAAATATTAATTATATTAATTTGTGTGTAATTTTGCCATATATTCCCAACTTTAAATAATTTTTAAAAGTTTATTTAATGATATCCCTTAAGCCTACATATATCATTGCCTTTTATTAAATCCTTAACAGGATTCTTGTCAATGAAAAAAAAAACCAAACTTAATAGGATGAGGAATACCTCGTATAAGGTGCACAATCATATTTGGAAGTGCTTGAGTCTTGAGATAGGGCATCAATATCCCAAGAGAGATCATCTTATTAGAAAAGGTCAACCATAATAAATTAACAATAGTAGTAGATAAGATAACGGTTTAGATAGGACAATAAATTATTAGGAGTCCTACACAAATTATCAACACATAACAGTACACTAGCTAATTCCGATCCGAAACCAATCTTCCATCAACTCTCTTCAGAATAGGTCTAATTTGTAAAATATTTTGTTGGAGAATATGAGATATTAGTTACACAAGTCTTTATCCTATTATGGTATATATATTATTGAGGAACGTAAAGTTAAAGAAGAAAATCCACTCGACAGAAACTCTGTCACTTTTTTCATGTCTTGCCATAACGTTAGCTATCTTGTCTTATTTTTATATTTATTTGTTAAGATATACGAAGTATATATTTACGTTATTAATTACTAGCAAAATATTATCTTGAATGGCCATATTAGGAGCTAGCAAACACATTTTGATAAGGACCAATAACTTTTCCAAACCGTAGTTATAGTCCGATTTAACCAAAATTTTGAAAATAACCTTGTAGGCTGTAGTACGTAGTCTTATACATACACACTACACTATTTTTTTCTTCATCTAAAAAAGCAAAAATGTCCAACATTATCCATCTACCTTAATACTTTTGCCTAAACCAAGGGTTACATTAATTATTAAGCAAATACAAAATATTTAAATCTCTTGCATGTAAAGCATGTCTAACTAGTTATAAACTCGTGTAATGCATGAATTTTATTACAATTTAATAGATATATAGTAGGAGGAATATATTAGTACGTACCTTTAGTGGTTTTATTGCTGTACATTTTGTTGCTTGCCATCGTCATTGATCTTGAATTGATTAAAGTAAAGTAATAATCATTATTTTGTTCTAAAACTTAAGATAATTTAGTTTACAAATGTCTGAAATTTAATATCAACATATAATCAAAAGACAGTGAAGAAAGGAAAAGAGGGAGTAGTCATTAAAACTGACAATTGACATGTATCTTTATTTAAAAATAATACTATAAAATAATAATGCTAGTATATAATTCATAAAGAGAACATTTTTCTTACATTAGCTAACAGAAATTATAATTCCTCTCGTTTTATTATACAAAGTAGTTGTAACACATCTTATTGCATTCTATTTGAGGAAGGGATTAGAGAAAGTAAACAAACGAATTAATTTAAACTTTTCTAACATCTTCTTCATACTCTATTTGAGGAATGGATTTGCATTCGTCTGTGTTCTACTGTTGTTAAAAAAAAGAAATCTTGTGCAAAGCTAGGACTTAGGAGGCCTAGGACCTTTTTTTTTTTAGTTCATACCATCAATTCATCAAATTAGAATTTTAAACTTCAACAAAACAAAGCTATAATTTGTCTATTACATCCTCTGTCCCTATTTGTTTGCCCCATAGCAAAAATTTGGGTCAAACTTTAAAACCTTTGATCATAAATTCTCATTAATTTATAAATGATAATATAGTCAAGGGGCATCTTGTTGGATTCGTCTCAGTGTATATTTTATTAACATAAAGTTTTTACAATTTTTACGCATATAAAAATAAAGATATTTATGTTTTAAAACGTGTTTTGAAGACCGTGAAAAGTCCAATGGAGCAACCAAACAGGGACAAAGGGAGTAGCTCTTTGCACAGTGATAGCATTTCTCCACCCATTTTTCATGAGGGCGTCCCCATTACTCACTGTGATAAACATTTTTGTTTCTCACAGTGGCAGTTTCGTAAATAAAATGTACCACTTTAGTCACGGTGGTACATTTTATTTACGAAATGGATGATAAAATTGTACCACTTTAATCACGGTGGTACATTTTATTTACGAAACTGCCACTGTGAGAAACAAAAACGTTTCTCACAGTGAGTAACAGAGATTTACTGATTTTTCATGCTGCTAACGTTATTATATACTCTAATATACCTAATGAAGTTCGATTCTCTAGATATAAGTTTTTTTTTTTTTTTTTTTTTTTTGAAAATAAGAATATACGTAAATGGTGCTAGTTTTAATTTACTACATATTGCATGTTGCATTACTGAATATGGATTGCTCTAACTCTTATAATTTGCATGGCTCCTTAAAAGAGTGCGTGGGTATGAGTGTTTGACTGCTATCTACTTGGCTGGTAAAGCTTGTGGTGAACCGGTGATCTGTGCATAATCTTATTCGTTGGTCTTTTGGCAAGATATCAACCATAGAATACTTTTAATTTTAACAAAATATGTTGTTTTAGTCACTAAATATTTTGATACTTATTAATATAAGGATGTATTTGGAGTGTACAAAGCAGATAATGTCGAGTAAAGTTGCCAAACGATATTCCAGGTGGGAGAGTATTGTTGTGTTTAATTTGAAAAAACAGCTATATTTTCAAAAGCCTTATACCAATGGAGTAGGTAGACACTTATAAGACCACTTTTAATGGTGGGCAAAAATAATGCTTGTCTAATATCTCTCTATCCACTTTCTCTCTACTTTCAATGGTGGGCAAAAAAAATAGTTGCCCACTATCTCTCTACCCTCTTTCTCTTCAACAAATCAATTTTGCCCATGAGCAATTTTTTTTCCCAATTTCTCTACCAATGGTGAGAAAAAAAATGCTTGCACACCACTCTCTCTCTTACTTTTTCAATACCCCACCATTATTTTCTTTCTCCAACTCAACACTTCTTTATTTATTAATTTCATTTATACTTTAACAATATTACTCCAAAAAAATAAAAACTAGTCTAAATTTGTGTAACTTATTTTTTTTATTTGTGTTGTTTTTATCGGTAAAATTTGTCGTTAAATTATGTACGTTAGATGAAATAATGGTAACAAAACGATCAAAATTTCCTAAATGTTTTTATTTATTTTAAAAAGCGGTACAGTACTAGAAACCGATTACATTTGAAACGTCATGCATAATTAAACTTAGGGAATAAAATAAACAAAACAATTAAAAAAAATCCGACTTCGTACGGTTAAGTAGGTAGGCCATAGTACTTGGCCTTGTTTAAGCCGTGCTAATTTTTCACTAATTAGTTGGCCCATATTGTAACCAAATATGTTTGACTGAATCACTTTTCGGAGATAGATGAATTTCTCTATCACGGAGGGAAGCTTGTTGTTGTAGAAATGAGTTAAAGTCAAAGTTGATAGGTCGGCCTACGTTGAATTCAAACAGTGGCGTTGTAGACGTTGATGCTGGTGTTAATTCTTGGTGATCTTCTTCGTAGAAGCTTCTTAGAACTTCGGCTCGAGTGTAGTTGTGGCGCTCATCTTCAACAATCATGTTGTTCATAATAATACATGCTTTCATTATGTCCCGCAGTATGTCCTCATCGTACGCCAGTGACGGTTTTCGTATTATTGCAAATCGAGCTTGCAAAACACCGAAAGCTCTTTCAACGTCCTTCCGAGCAGCAGCGTCAGTGAACATTTTATCCTTCTGAAGTTGAGGGTATGTGATACCCTGAATAAAAGTTTCCCACTTTGGATAAATGTCGTCGGCTAAGTAATAAGCCATGTTGTATTTATGGCCGTTAACTGTAAAATTTACCAGAGGAGCTCGACCATGCAGAACCTCATCGAACACTGGTGAACGGTACAAAACATTAAGATCATTACAAGATCCGGGAATACGAAAGAAGGAATGTCAGATCCATAAATCTTGATCCGCAACGGCTTCCAGTATAAGCGTTGCTTTCTTGTTTCTACCGGCGTACTGCGCATTCCAAGCCGTTGGACAATTCTTCCATTCCCAACGCATGCAATCAATGCTGCCTATCATGCCTGGAAAACCACGCAATTCATTTTGATGCAGTATTCGAGCCAAATGATCAGTTATAGGGTTTCGCAGGTACTCGGTTCCGAACTGATCAATGACCCCGGCACAAAAACGTTGAAGGGAAACTCGAGCGGTTGACTGACTGATTCGAACGTATTCATCTACGGCGTCTGCAGCCAAGTCGTAGGCTAACATTCTTATCGCGGCTGTACATTTTTGCAGAGGTGATAAGCCTAACCTTCCAGCTGTATCCCTACGCTGCTGGAAGTAAACATCACCTTCAACGACCTTGTTCATAATACGTAAAAACAAAGGTCGTTGCATTCGAAATCTTCTTCTAAATTGGTTGGTGTCGTACATAGGATTATCGGAAAAATAATCATTAAACAGTCTGGCATGTCCCATTTCCCTATCTCTTCTATCCGTACCCCCTCTGGGTGTTTTTGTAGTGGGTTGGGACTGTGTTTGGGGCATGAGGAAAGTTGGGGGTTGGTATGTGAAGAGTTCATCTACGAGTTGATCATACTCTTCAGTATTTGAAGAAGATGAACTTGAACTTGAACTTGATGATGGTCTGGAATACATCTTGTACTAATAATGTAAGTTTTTGAATTGGTGTGGTTGTGGATATGTGCCATGCTTACTATATATAGCAAATATATCAAATGAATATGTGGTTACAAATCTGAATGACCACACCAACTGAAGGAATCAAATTCTCAGCCACGTAATAGGTATACTATGCTAGTTGACAATGACAAATCTTTAGTGCAATTATGTCGGTATCAATGACCAAGAGTTAAAGCATTCTGACAAAAGTGACTACACATTGACAAAAAATGAATGCAAAAATGACTACACAATGACAAAAAATGAATGAAAAAGTGACTACACAATGACAAAAACTGAATCCAATTATGTCGGTAACAATGACAATTGAAATCAACTTGTTAAACAACTTGTCATTCAATATTGGAAAATCAGAATACACGTTTACATATGACATTGAAATTAAACACACCACTAATACAAGTTAAAAATAAAAGACTACATTGCGCATAATTAAAAACTTAACTAATACAAACATAGATCAACTACAATAGCATAATTAAAAACTTGAGTAATACAAGCGTAGACCTACTACAATAACATGCTTAAAAGCCTTGTAATTGACCAAGTAAAAAATTCTTGTACGCCTCTTCTTGACGAGTGAGTGGCGTAGGCGAATTCTTCAGAGTTTGCAGCATATCAAACATGGTTCTTGATTAGGGGATTTTGCTCCCACCAATCGGAATGCGCCACGTGGGCCAATCAGGTCCTGCCAAGTGCCCTCCAGTTGGAACTGCCAGGGTTTGCCACGTGGCACACGCCTATTTGTCCACCCTGGACCTATTATGTCATGACACGTGGCATCCACCATGCCTAATGGAAAAACCGGCCACCTAGGCCCAACTTCCAAGGGAAGCCCAATCAGCCCTAGGTTAACCGAAACCTAGGATTGGCACGTTTCCCAAGGTTATAAATACCTCCATTAATCCTCATTAAGGGGGATTACGCACATTTAACACTCTCACCTAGAGAGACCCAATCACTTTTATTTCCGCATTAATTACTCCTTAATCAAGTACTAACTTGACCGTCGGAGGCGGATCTCCAATCGTCCGGAGCATCCGTTTGTTTTGCAGGTACAGGCGTCCGGTTCCAGTCTCGGAATTGTAACTCTCCCGCAGGACATCAGAAAACCCCGAAACATTTTGGCGCCGTCTGTGGGGAGAGTACTTCTGAGATGGCATCCACGTCTGTACCGACTCCTGAAGAGAGGCGTCCCCTAGACGACCCTCAAGTTCAGTCGGACCATGATACTGAGGAAGAATTTGAAGTTGAAGCTCACACAGCTTCAGACGGGACCCTAAGGGCCCGACGCACCCGTCATACCGAAAGGAGGGAACGGGAACATCTTCAAACTGGACTCAGTGATCCAGCCGGCGCACCGCCTGTTCAGCAGCAGCCGGCTGATGGGTCTGCTCCCATACAAGAAACGAACTCATGACCTTCATGAGGGGCTTCAAAGGAGAGATTCAAGAGTTGCTCAACAAGAAGCCGCCTGCTCTGGCCAGGGATCAGTTGGCTAAGAAACCTTCCTCTTCAGGGAAGAGGAAACCTGTTCAAGGGCGAGAGGCGACCCCTCATCTTAACTCTAGGAAGTGGGAGTCGCCTGTCCTTGATTTCACAAAGTACCGCTTTCCTACTCCAGGAAAGAGGAAACCTGTTCGTCATATTCAGGCGGACGGGTCGAAGAAAACATACACAGATGCTCGGCTATTGCTAGTGCAGAAAAAGAATGACCGATTGTCAGAGTCGGCCTCTACTTCAGACTTCCAAGACAGTCTACGCAATACCTCGATGAGGCATACTCAGTCGCATCATGAGAGTCAGTCAGGCGGTACCTCTCGTCAGTCCGGCTTTCATAGTGACCAAGCGGTACCAAACTTACCATTTGTACCGCAACAACAATATTTTTTGCAGCCACCTCTGTTTGGTGGGCATGCAGCAAAGAATGTCCAACCTATGGACTGGCAGCTACGGTTGCTTAGACTTGGGGAACAGCCGTCGACCTTCTCTAAGGAAATTGCTGAAGCCGCTCAGCCGGCCAAAGTGAAAAATGTATTAGTAGGCGCCTATGACGGCACTACTAACCCAGAAGACCATTTGATGGCATTCACCAACCTAATGTACCTTCAAGGGTTGGATGATCCCACTTGGTGCAAGTGTTTTCCAGCGACTCTCAAAGGAATCGCACAACAATGGTTCGGCAACCTACCGACTGGTTGTGTGAATAATTTCAGGACGCTTGCTTACTTATTCACCTCCAACTTTTCCATGAACATACCTGCGAAGAAGACGACCCTTGATTTAGGAACGATTCAGCAGGGCGAGAAGGAGGGGCTTCGTTCTTACATCAGGCGGTTTAACCTGATGAGAATACAGATTCAAGGGTTACCGGATAAGGTAGCCTATACTGACTTTTTCAGAGGCCTCAAAGACGGATCGACATTCAAATTTGATTTGGTCCGAAAGAGGGTGGTGACTCTTCAAGAGGCCTTGATTGAAGCGGAAGCCTATATACAGGCGACTGATCTTTGTAGTACAGGAAAACAGTCGGACGGGAAAAGGTTCGACAAAAGAGAAGGACGACAGAAACAGTCGTCGAATAAAGATGAGAAGAAGAGAAAAGAGGTCTGGGCGTCTGATTCCTCTTAACAGCCGGCCCAGAAGAAGAGGAAAGAATTCAAACCATACTCCCCAAAGTATGCGTTTAACAAGGATAGTTAAGCTATCCTAAAGGAAATCAAGGGACGGATCTCAATTGAGAAGTCGGCCCCCATGAAGGGTTCTGCAAGCAACCGGAACCAAGAAAAATTATGTGATTATCATGAAGATGTTAGTCATCACACCAACGAATGCATCAGTCTCATGCGGTATCTGGACCGCCTGGCCGAGCAAGGCGATCTTGACTCTTATGTCAAGAAATCTGATGGGAACACTTCCTCGAAAAAGCAGTCGGCCAAAAAGAGTCAACAGGCCGACAGCTCTGATACAGATGATGCAGTCGTCTACACCATTGCAGGCGGCTTCTCAGGAGGAGGCCCCACTATTAGGGGCAACAAAGACAATATCAGGCGGCTAGACGTAAATTCCGTTCACCAAGAACGGCCTTCCAAATATTCATTTCCTGAGATTGTCATCACTGAAGAAGATCTAGGAGGGGTAAGGGGACCGCATGACGACCCTATCGTTATTGAATGTAAAGTGGCCAACCAGAGAGTTGGCCGAATCATTATAGATACCGGAAGCTCCTCAGATCTTATCAGTAGAAAATGTCTGTCAAAACTCAAATATCAGACTGATTGCATACATCCGGCATCCCACCCTTTAGTAGGGTTTGGAGGAGGAGGAGTCCACCCAGTGGGACGAGTGGATTTACCCATCCGCCTGGGTGAAAAAGGGGAAGGACGACACATGGTAGTCCGGTTCCTGGTAGTAGAAGAACTCTCGGCCTACAACATGATTCTAGGACGACCAACCCTGAATAATTCCAAGGCTGTTATAATCCCATCTCTTATGTTGCTCAAGTTTGAGAGGGATAATGGAACAGTCGGGTCCCTAAGGGGAGATCAGAGGATGGCCCGAGAGTGCTATCTCTCGGATATCAAGCCCACTGTTATGACCGCTGGGTCAAGTGGTGGAAAAACAGACCTTGACACTGTCAAGGATAGTGCGCCTGTTCAAGAAGCAGGCGGTAAGAAGAGAAAGGCAGCCCAGGCGGGGGCCGCAAGAAAAGACAGAAAATAGCAATCATTGGCAGAGGAGCGGTCGGATGAATTCCGCCCTCAGCCGGCTGGTGAGCATACGGACCTGATCTTAGACGACTCACGTCCTGAGCGAACAGTCAAAGTTGGGACAACTGCTCTGAGAGTCCTGGGTGACGACTTTCACAAACTATTGAAAGAATACAAGGAAATATTTGCATTCGAAGTCCTCGAAATGCCAGGCATTAGTCCTGACCTGGCGGTACATAAACTGGCTGTGGATCCGAAAAAGAAGCCGGTAAGGCAGAAAAAGCGGAACCATGGAGAAGAAAGAAGTCAGGCGGCAGCCGCCGAAGTTAAAAAATTACTTGATGCAGGGTTCATTCGGCAATGTTACTTCCCAGACTGGGTTGCAAATGTGGTGCTTGTTAAAAAGTCGAATGGCACCTGGCGAATGTGTGTAGACTACACAGGCCTAAACAAGGCGTGCCCCAAAGACAGTTATCCTCTGCTTAAAATTGATAACCTGGTCGACTCAACAGCCGGCCATGCTTTGATGAGTTTTATGGACGCCTACTCTGGTTTCCATCAAATTCCTTTATGGAAGAAAGATCAGGAGAAGACGGCCTTCGTCACTGATCAAGGGTTATACTGTTACACGGTCATGCCGTTTGGTCTTAAGAATGCCCCGGCCACCTTCCAGCGAATGATAAACACTGTGTTCTTTGATCAGATTGGGAGAAACGTCGAGGCATACATTGATGATATGATTGTCAAGTCTAAGCTTCAGATAGATCATCTGTCGGACCTCCGAGAAACTTTCGCCACACTTAGGCGGCACCATGTCGTGCTCAATCCCAAGAAATGTGTATTTGGAGTTGAGTCTGGGAAATTTCTCGGATTCCTTATCAATCAGAGAGGAGTAGAGGCGAACCTTGAGAAGGTGCAGGCGGTCATCGACATGCAGTCGCCTCGTACCGTCCGAGAGGTTCAGAAGTTAACAGGTTGTCTTGTGGCCTTGGGAAGATTTCTAAGCCGATCAGGCGACAAATGCTGATACTTATTCCAGGCCATTAAGAAGAAGGCAAGGTTTGAATGGGGGTCGGATGCTGAGGCGGCCTTCCAGAAATTGAAAGTTCACTTGCATTCCTTGCCGAGGCTGGTCAGCCCTTTGCCCAAAGAAGTACTCTACATGTACCTGGTCGTCTCTAATCATGCGTTAAGCGCTGTTCTTCTTGCTGAAAGAGACGGCTGTCAGCTCCCGGTCTACTTTGTCAGTCATGTACTGAAAAATGCCGAGTTGAGGTATCCCTTAGTGGAAAAATTTGGTCTTGCACTCTTCATGGCTGTTAAAAAATTGAAGCCCTACTTTTTGGCACATGCAGTCGTCGTGTATACAGATCAACCTATCAACCGGCCACTGACCACCATGGAGTCGTCAGGCCGGATGATCAAATGGGCCATAGAAATACAGAGCCTCGAAGTTACTTTCGAGCCTAGAAAAGCAGTGAA